AGGTTCCGGGCGGACTCTCCGGGAGACCGTCCTGGAAAGTCCGCCCATCCTTGCCCTCCTCAATGAGAGCTTCATCAGCACCTGGTCCCTGGTGAAGGAGCTGGAGGACCTGCAGGTGAGCAGGGCGGGTGGGCCCCGGGGCAGTGCGGGGGAGGGGGGGCAGGGGTGTAGCCACCGCGCTGTCCCCACAGAACAACCAGGAGAGCCCGACCCACAGGCAGCTGGCTGGCCTGCACCTGGAGAAGTACAGCTTCCCCGTGGAGATGATGATCTGCCTGCCCAATGGCACCGTGGTAGGCACCGTGGGCGCGGGGTGCGGCCGGGGCGCACTGAGCTAGGACTGAGCTAGGCTCCGCCGGTGTGTGCGCCGCAGGGGAGCGCGTAGGGGAGCCGAGGGTGCGCAGGGGAGCGCGCAGGGGAGCGGAGGGTGCGCAGGGGAGCGGAGGGTGCGCAGGGGAGCGGAGGGTGCGCAGGGGAGCGGAGGGTGCGCAGGGGAGCGGAGGGTGCGCAGAGGGGAGCGCGCAGGGGAGCGGAGGGTGCGCAGGGGAGCGGAGGGGAGCGCGCAGGGGAGCGGAGGGCGCGCAGGGGAGCGCGCAGGGGAGCGCGCAGGGGAGCGCGCAGGGGAGCGGAGGGTGCGCAGGGGAGCGGAGGGGAGCGCGCAGGGGAGCGGAGGGTGCTTGCAGGGGAGCGGAGGGGAGCGCGCAGGGGAGCGGAGGGTGCGCAGGGCCTCCTTGGCTGTCCTTCGGGCTGCCAGCGGTGAGGGCCAGTGTGTGGCGTTCAGGGGTCCCAGGAACAGGGGAGATGGGAGGGAAGAGGAAAAGGGGGTGTTGGAAGCAGCAAGCCTCGGCTTAGGGAAGGTTCTAGTGGGGTTCTGTGATCACAGCCCACCTGCCATCACCGCAGGGGGAGGCTGGTGGAAGCGACCCCCCCCCCCCCCCCCCCCCCCCCCCCCCCCCCCCCCCCCCCCCCCCCCCCCCCCCCCCCCCTCTCCCCCCTACACACTCCCCCCCCCCGCCCCCTCACCCGCCCGCCTCCCCCGCTCCTCCCAGGTCCACCCCCGCCCGCCTCCCCCGCTCCTCCCAGGTCCACCACATCAACGCCAACCACTTCCTGGACATCACCTCCATGAAGCCTGAGGACATGGAGAACAATGTCTTCAGCTTCTCGTCCACCTTCGAGGACCCGTCCACGGCCACCTACATGCAGTTCCTCAAGGAGGGCCTGCGCCGGGGCCTGCCCCTCCTCCAGCCCTAGCACCCCTGTGCGCTGCGGAGGGGGGACGGACACCCCGGCCCGGCCTCTCAGACCCCGAGCCCAGTGGTCCTCAGCCCACTCCACACTCCACACCCTCCTCCCCCTCCTCCCACGCTGCTGGTAGGATCTGGAGCCATCCCTGCCCCGTGGGGGGACCCATGAGCCACCACCTCCACCCTCACCAGCAGCCCTACCTAACCACCGGGCTCCCCTCAACACAAGTCCCGGGGTCACCTCCCTGGCCCTCACCGTCCAGTCACAGTCCAAGCCCTTGTGGGAGGAGGAGGCTAGAGGGGGAGAGCCCCTCCTGGCTGCCCCTCACCCGTCCCAGAGGACACGAGCAAGCGCCGGCCCAGGGCGCCAGGCTGCCACAGCACTCTGTGTGTGGAGCCCCCACACCCCGCCCAGCGGCCTCCTGTCCCCAGCGGGTCACTCTCAGCTGGAGACAGCCTGTGCGGAGGCCTGCAGCCAGCGGAAGTGGGGGGGGGCTGGGGGCTCCCAGAGCACTGAGCAGGCCAGGCCAGATGACAGGACACTGGGGTGGGGCTGTAAAACAGGCGAATCTCTAAGCCCCCCCTCCCCCCGCCAGGGCCCAGCCACCCTAACACAGGGTCCTGGCAGGACAGGTGCTGGTGCCCTGCCCGCAGATCTCCATAGACACAGCAGCCTCCCGGCACCCAGGCCAGCTTGGCGGCCGCGCCTGGGACCTTGTCCACACCCTGAGCCACTGACCAGGGCCAGTCTTTTCTACACATGCAGAGAAGTGTTTTTATGTGAACTATAGATATTTTTTTACAACCTATGTGCTGGAGAGAAAGCAGGGGGCGCGGCCTCCCCCGCAGCAGCCTCATGACGGCTGGGTCTGAAATCCTGCGCAGGTCCAGCTTGATGTCTTCGCAGCTGCGCGCAGCGGGACGCGCCTCTCCTCCTCCTCGCCCAGCTTTTTAAATGCAGCCCTCCAGAAACCAGTTCCCTTCCTGGCAGAGGAGGAAGGCGGCGGGCAGACTTCCTAAGGCCCATCCAGCCTCACCCACCCATAGGGAGGAGCCCTGCCAGCCGCCGGAGGCCCCGAGCTGCTGGAGCTGCGGGCCTCAGTCTCAGAGGCGCGGGCTGCAAACCCGCTTGTGCCTGAGAAGTTGTCTTGGTTTGGGGTGTTTTCTTTGGCACCGTCCCTCTTCTCTCCCTGCCTGTTTTCTTGTCTGCGATCTTCAGATCAAGCAGGGCCAGGGAACGCTGCCTCGTGCTGTGCTGGGAGGTGGCACTTCCCCACCGCGGGGACAATGCCCAAGCCTTACCCAGCGCCCTTCACATCTTGTCCCCTGAGCCTCCAGCCTCAGCCTCGGCTGCCACCTGGCCTCTGGGCCTCTGCTTGAAAGGAGCCCAGGCCTCGAGATTCCACTTAGAGAGGCTTGCTTTCTGGATCTCCCTTCCCTGCCTGCCTGCCCTCAGCTGAGGACGCCTCGCTGCCCTCTTGCCACCCCTCTGCCACTTTCCTCCAACATGTCCAGTAATAAAATTGGAGCGTAGAGGGACTCGCATCTTTTCTTCAAGCAGCATGTTCAGTTCTGTCCTTCTGTCCTCTGACTCCCGTTGGATTGGCTAGGGAGAGTGGCAGGGCCAGATCTGAGCTACAATGCCTCTGGGGATTATCTTGTCAGCAGAGGGCTTGAGTGACTTTCCTAAAATAAATCTGTGATAAGCCCAGGGGTAGAACTTGCTGTTTTGAGAATCTGGTGCTCTTGTACTGAGAGCAATCCTAAAGTTAAACCCGGTGGCTTGGAAGCAGAGCCCGAGACAGGTATTAGGTGATTTGGGAAAAAAGTACCCTTTAGGGCTGGGAAGGTGGCTCAGTGGTAGAGCGCTTGCCTTGCATGCCTGTGGCTCAAATGGTAGAGCGCTAGCCTTGAGCTGAAGAGCTGAGGGACAGCACCCAGGCCCAGAGTTCAGGCCCCACGACCGGATCCCCCCAAAAAAAAGAGAGGAAAGAAAAGTACACTTTAGAAAAGATCTGGAAGAGAAGGGTTGCGGCAGAAAACAGCAAGGGAAAATATTGAGCAGAGATGTCTCAACGCCTCGCTTTGGCCCAATCCACAGTGAAGGGTTCTGGAGCAAAAATGACCACTGCAGGGTCAAACCAGCCTTTCCCTCCTCGGACCAATCAATCATTGATTGGTCTGGAGAGGTAAAGAACATGCCCAGGCTGAGTTTACTCCCGGCAGAGATCTAAGTAGGGAGTGCAAACATCATGGGCAGGCACAAGGATTTGCATGATCTGCCATTGCCCAGCACAGGAAGGTAACGACTGAGGGACATTCTGCCATCCTTGAAAGGGTAGACCTGGAAATCAACCATGGCTGGAATGGATGACCTGCCCACCAAGTCTCTGGCCAGGAGCAGTTACTTGACTTGTGGCAGCCATTGCAAACCAAAACAGTCCAGTGCAGAATGAAAGTGCAATGAAATGCTCTCGTCAAGGCCAGGTATGATGGTGTGTGCCTATAATCACAGCTATTCAGGAAGATTGTAGAAACAAAAACAAAGAAAGAAAAAGCAGGGAATTTGGCTCAAGTGGAAGATCACTTGTCTAGCAAGCTCTGGGTTCAAATCCTTATGCTGCTCACCAAAGAGAAATGATAGTGATGGTTTGGGCAGGGATAGGCAGTGTATATGACGGTGGTTCCCAAGATTATAACTAAGCTGAAAATGTTCCATCATTTAGTACTTTTACTGGACCTTGTCTATGCTTTGATGTTTAGACGGACAATACCATTGTGTTGCAGTTGCTATATTCAGTACAGAAATATGCTGGAAAGCTGGAACAATGGGTTCTACCACATCATCTACGAAGAGATGATGTTCCTGTAACAATGGAATCAACCAAAAGCATGTTTCTCAATGGACCCCCTAACACCAAGTGACACCATAACTGGTTTCAAGAGGGCCACAGCAGAGCAGGGGAGCAGTCTGGGGTTGTTCTGGGCGTGGGGCCCATTGTGACTGCACAGGCTGTTCACCCACGCAGCCAGCCTGTGCTTGGCATATGGGGAGTCCAAGTTCTGAGACCGAGGAAGGACAGCCAGAGCCAGCAGAGCCAGAGCCAGGCAAAGCCAGGTAGGAAGGCAGAGGAACCTGCCTCAGGTCCCAGATGCCAGAGATAAGGACAGTGAAGGTTTGAGCACTAGAGTGAGCCTGAAGAACAGTGCCATTAATCTAATCGACACACTGAATAGCTCTAATTGACACACTGTGGAGGTGTGAGAGAGACTGGCAGACACAGGGGCAAAGATAGAAGCAAGCCACAAAGCACTGGAGGTCAGAGGTCAAAAGCGAGAGGCCCTCTGCCCATTAAAAAACAAAGTTATTTACTTTTTCTTTGCTTATTTACCTATTGGGCATACTGGGGACTGAACTCAGGGCTTTGGGCTCACCAGGAAGATGCTCTACTACTATTGAGCCCCTAACTCTAGCCCGCTTCTGCTCATTCTTGCTAGATTTTTCCAGAACGCCTTGGCTGCGAAAACGGAACAGAGAAGCGAGAGAGGGTAAGGTAGGGGCGGTAGGCGCTGGCCAGCGGGCTCCTGGGGGCGGGGCTCTGCTCCGGCGTGGGCCCCGCCCCCTGGAGGATCGCCCCGCCCACGAGGCCGCCACGCCACGCCTCCTCCCGAGCCCTCGCCTTGGCGCGCAGCTGCAAGAGGTCGCTTCCGGGGTTGTGGGGGGCGGATTACCGGAAGTGAGGGCGCTCGAGGCCGGGCCGTCCGCGGTGGTGGTGGGAGGGGCCGTGAGGTGAGTCCGGGAGCCGGAGTCTGAGGTGAGGAGAATCTGGAGACCGACCGCTCGTCCGGCCGGCCGTGAACCGAACCCCGCGGCTCCTGTTCCGCGCGCGTTCCCGCCGGGGCTGCTGCTGTCCGCCTCGCTC